GGGTCGAAGACGGAGGTAGGCGCTGGTGCTGCATTTGTGAATGACCAAGCCACCTGGTCCTTTTCTTTACCGAAACGCCTCAGTTTACACGTCCGAGCTCGTTGCAATCAGTAAAGCCCTATGCTTCATCGAAGTTGGTGAGAGCAACTCACACGTGATCTTATCCGATTCTTTGAGCAACCTGTTGGCTCTGACAACCTATAACCCACCTTGTCCCATTATACAGGATATTTTAGTTCGCCTGACAGCGCTGGATCTTGCTGGTAAAACTGTCGTCTTATGTTGGATACCGAGTCATATGGGTATCGCAGGTAACGAGCGTGCTGACGCGGCCGCAAAACGGGCAGCGCGTGCACCTTGCACCCGTTCTTTACCCGTGCCGGCAAGGGACTTTTACCCTGCAATCGCGACCTTTGTGAAGGGGAAATGGCAACGCTGCTGGGACGCCATTGTAAAGAACAAGTTAAAGATGATCAAGCCACAACTGGGTCTATGGTCTTCAAGCTCACGTAAGTTGAGATGCGAAGAAGTAACCCTCAGCAGATTACGAATTGGCCACACGCACGCAACACATAGCTACCTTTTGTGCGGTGAACAGCGCCCTAAATGTCCTCGCTGTGATGCGCCACTTACGGTTCGCCACGTTATTCACTCTTGCCTACAGTTCAGAGAAGAGCGGGCACTTTACTTCGGACGAGATGCGTCAGGTCTTACCTTTTCAGACCTTATTGGTGACGATTCTCGCATGCTTGGCACCGGACAGCTGTTTTCATTTTTGAGAAGCGCAGGATTCACAGCCATCTATACGCCACGGTAAACACTTAGCTGTTATGGGCGCAAAATGACCCCAGAAGTCGACGCGCCCTAAAACCCCAATCATCATCATCATTCTTGCTTAGGAAATGGGTCCCCAGGACTGAGACCGACACGAAGCTGACTGTTCGGCGTTGGCAGTCTCTGATCGTAATAAGGCCGCCATTGACCCAGGGTGTCCCCAACTGGTGCAAGAGACTCTTTGGCTGTCATTTAACGGCCCGGAAGCCGGGGTCGTTAACATGACCTGCATTCAGCTCTTTGCGCCCTCCAATCAAGCACTTATTCGTCGGTTCCGAGTGGTCCTTCGGCCCCTCTGCGGGCCCCTCGAACACTGCCCCAGGTTGGCCGGGCTCCCTGTCATACAGGACCCTTGTTAGGCCTTGAAGTCTCCAGACCGATACAGGGGCCCCTCACTGTCTCAGGGTCCCCACCGATGTCCCAAGTCCGTCCCGGTGGCTCAGTTGGTTAGAGCGCCTGCATTCCGACCCACCCATCCGTGGCGGGATGGGTTCGAGTCGCTTTAGGGCGCTCGCTATTTGCCCTTGGCAGGTATGGCCTGCGGCCGGTGGCAGCGGTCGCGCTAAAGGTCAGTTGACGTCAGAGGGCAGGACGGACCGTGCCGAGCATTGCGGCACGTATAGCTTTCGCAACTAAATTCTGCCGTTGCCTGGAACTGCGCGATCGGATGGTGGGGGTCAGGGCTCACGCGACAAGCACTGCTTAGCGTTAGCGCTGATCCCAGAAATCTATCCATTCGAAGGATTCGGACCAAATTTATAAAAAAAGATGTAAGTCGCTGGCCCCCTGTCCTTGCTGGGAAACTACCTGATGAGTAACCTGATGGAGAATCCGTCGCGTGTCACGGTCGTTATGCTTCCGCAACAGCGGCGCAGTTTCGCAAGATAGGCAGGGGCGAGGGGGGGGGGGGTTGAGCAAGGAAAATCTAGCCTTAGATGAAATAAAAACAGGTGTTTTCTTCGGTTTAACCCACTGTCCCCTCAGCGTAATGGAGTTGGGCTCCCACCCAACCGAATAGGAAACTACAGCTCCGTTCTTATATGCTCCCTCGCTCCGTCTCCACGGGAGATGCTGTCGTTGGGCATCCATTGTCATTTTGTTGGGAGCCGGCCGTCGAAACTAGGTTTCCTAATCGACGTTGGGTCGATATCACCTGGCGCTTCAGACGTTGTTGGACGTGCGCAACCTCGGCAGTGAAGGGCACTGGTTGATGCGCACGACCATTAAGCGATGCCACAGAAACCTCGGCCGGCAGCCGGAAGGCGGGCTGGTGCCTGCGGCGCAGCGCTCCCGCTATGCATGTGGGGCGCGGTTTGTTCTGTTTTGGTGGTCGTTGTCCCATGATTACCACTGTCGGTTTGGTCGGCTGGCATCGATCGGCAGGTTTTCGAAACAGCCACATGGGATATTCACGTCGCATTGGAGGTCGGTGCACTTCAGGGGATATGTCGAACGTAGCCTCTTCAGTTGGTCACGTTATTAGGTGCTAATATTGACCGCTTTATTTTCGTTTTCCAAAGATCGCTGAATAATGTCAAACCACTCAGACAGTAGCACAAAATCGGGTCAGAGCTAACAAGAAATATTAATGGAGTGAATAAAAGCAGGCATCGTGCAGGGAAAGAACAAAAAATACTCAAGTAGACACGGCAAGAGCGCGGAGATTTAATAGTGTGACAAGCTATGTATGTCAGCTGCACTGAACTGAACATGACATTGTAGTTTTTAGTTTCTTTGTTCCTTACACCTGTGAAGCAAGCAGTAGGTACCGCCTTGAAAATTTAAATAATTTTGACCCCTATTTTAATGCCTTGCTTGTGCTTTGGCCCCAGAAGGTTGTGGGGAAGTGGCCCACCCAAAAGAATGCAAATCAACACCCGTGACTACTAGTTGGATGCATGGCCCAGTCTGAACCTGGATACGCGCCTTGCACGCCCAACCATTCAGAGACGCGTGCCGTGTTAGTGAGATATGTTGATGTGGCCTTGGGGAAGGGTGTGGCGTGAAGTCAGCTGGGGGGATCACCGCAGTTCCTGTGATGCACTCATTTTAATCAAGCCGGTAAATGGTGACGTCAACTAAATTGCCCCTTGACGCTTTTAAACGATCGCTGTCGTTTTGGTAAAGTGTGCCGTTTCACGACCTTTGCCGCGGGCGTTGTAGGCCATGCGTTCTTCCCCGTCCCTGTAAGTGGGGCGGTGGGTATCGATGTGTGGCGAGACACGTGACATGTGCATGGCGTACGTGTTTGAGGCCGGCGAATCGATGAGATGGCGGAGCCGGCGGTTCACCGGCGGGTGGTGCACGGCCAGGGCGGCGTGGACTCCCATCACTGGCACCGGCCAAGTCCCTGCCCGCGCCGGTGTCTGGAGAAGTGCAGACACAGGCCTGGCCGTTGCCGCCGTCCACGTGCCATTACGGGTCACCGTGGCGTCTCCGTGGGTGCGAGAACAGGTCGAGAAGGCCTTGGAGGATTGAAAGCTGGGTTTGAATGTGCGGGGGTAACACACCTGGCTGGCTCGGCTGGCTCGACTGGCTCATAACACGACTGATTCGGGCCAGGGCGTGTGCGATTATAGCGGGGAACACTGTTTCTTCCAAAAGATGTGCGGTGATGTAATATACGTTGCTGTTAGGGCCATCGAGAGCACATGTGCTCCGCTAAGAGAACGTCATCGCAGTGTTATCATCGTCGTATTTATGTATGCGCTGCGTGGGAGATACGTGAGGGAAGGGTATATTGCACATTGCAAGAATAGTGTAGGACAACGTTGTAAGTGTTTTTGTGGGCCGTGCATTTCAGGCAAAGCAATTAAGTTCTTTACATATCTGCAATACAATCGCTTCAACATGCGTGTGTTCGCGCTTATGCGAGCTTCCATTGGTAATATTTGCTCCGTATGTTCACGCCACTCTTATAATGCGTTCGTTTTATGTGAAACATCATAAAACCTTTTCAATAGCGCATTAGTTATTTTAAGATGTGAATAAATGATATTCTTTTCTAGGGATTCAAGACACTAGGGCTTCTCTGGGGTGCCGGTGGTGTAGTGACTAACGCGTCTGCGTTAGTTATTGCGCGTCTGGGAAACCGGAGGTGCGGGGTTGGAATCCCCGCGGTGTCCGCCCTTCCTGCCAGGGTGAGAGGGCAGGCGACGCCATAGAGCCTGAGCAGCTGAGTGCGCCGTAAAGCCCCAATGACAGACACACACACACACATTGGGGCTTCTCAAAAATTCGGAGTAGGTCGCATGAATGTAGTGTTCTCAAACAGCTGTAAGCAACCTACGGCACAAGAAGCGCAACCAAATTTCACGGCAGTCAATGATGTTTTAGTGTGTAGCTCACGGTTGGTAGTTAACAGTGGAACATTGGAACTCATTGCTATATATGTACGCTTCGTTGCCGTGGAACACATCTTTGAGGGAGTGTTCCACCTTCGGGGAACATTTCGGAAAGCATACTCTTCTAAAACTCTAGGACTAGTTACGTTTTATGATAGCACTGGGTAGCGCCACTGCAGCACCGACATATCCAAGATATCGACCTAACCTATTTTCAGTTCGAAACTACGCTATCAGCGCTTTGTTATGACACTACACTTTTTCTCTGCAATTTTGACCACCGTGGTCATGGCAACCTCTTCTGGTGCGAATAAAAGGGCTTTCGCGATTGGCCCAGTGGGTAACAACGGCCTGTTACCAAGAAGCCCACTGGTTTAACTTTGAACCAGTATGGTGCCGTCACTAGTTCCCTATGTGGTACCATCACCTGTATCATGTGTGTTGCTGGTAGCATCATTAGTGCAATAGTGTGTGGTGCTGGCAGCATCACTTCGCGTGGCACCAACACCACACCCCTGTGTGGTGCAAATATTGTTCTCCTTGCAGTGCAGGGGCAGTCACCCGTATCTTGTCATGCAGGTGACGTCACCAAGTCTGCAGCATGGCCATGTCGCCGCTTCCCTCTGTTGTACGGTCACCAGACGTCCGTGTGGTTTTGTCACCACTCAGCGGTTCAGGTGCTGTCCCAGTTCACTGCGTGTTTTGAGTGCAATCCCCCTGTCCGTAGGTCAGACGCTGTCCCCCCCCCCCCCTGTGCGCCGCGTGCCATCAGCAGTCCCCCCTGCGCCACAGGTGCCGTCACCCCTCCCCTCTGCGCCGCAGGTGCCGTCACCAGTCCACGGGAGCACCTGGTGCGCGGTCTCCAGCGGCTGGCGCAGCGGCAGCCGGGCCGCGTGCCAGCCCTGGTCAGCGCCGGCCTGGCGCCGGAGGCCGCCGCCTTCCTTCAGAAGTACGTCCAGCAGACCGGTGTCACGCTACAGTGACGGCCCGCACAGGCGCGTCCGTCGTGCGCCTCGCGCGCCGCCTGCGGGCGCCACCCGCCCCCGCTTCGCCTTTGTCTCGCACGCGTGCGCCTTGCTTCGCCCCGCCTCGCGACGAGCCCGTGCCGTCGTCGGGGGCGATCGTTCTCACACCTGCTGGTGCTGTCGCTGTGATGTTGTGTCTTGAGACTGTGTATGCAATAAACGGTCGCCGCGGGTCGGTGTGATGGTCCGCTGACGAGCGACGGGGGGGGGGGGGGGGGGCACCGCCCGGTCGGGTCGGGTGGGTATGGTGCCGCTGACGAGCGCCAGGAGCGAGCCGCCGGGGGTGCACCACCTGGTCGGGTCGGGTCGGTATGGTGCCGCTGTCGAGGGCCGGGAGCGAGCCGCCGGGGGTGCACCGCCCGGTCGGGCGGGTCGGTATGGTGCCGCTGACGAGGGCCGGAGCGAGCCGCCGGGGTGCACACCTCGGTCGGGCCGAGTCGCAGCCCCGAGGCGCCGGAGACGCTCCCGTGTTGTCGACGGCGTCCGGCTGCCGGCTGGTGCAACGGGGCTCGCGATGTGCCATGAGGCAGCGACGCGTGGTTCACCAGGTAATCGAGAAAGAGCTCAACCCGTTAGGATCTCTGTGATTGCACAATCACATGAATCCCAACTTGAAGAAGGTGGCCCTCAGACGGTTGCGGACAGTAACAACTGGTCAGAACTAAAGCCTTTGGGTCTTCATGTGCACCAGGTGCTCAAGTGAAGTCAGTAGTGACTTGCTTGAGGACTTGTGTTCGGTACAAAGTCATGTTCCTTAACGTGTTAGTTTAGCCGCCGGGTTATATTTTCGCGATTGCGTGCATATGCGCAAATCCATAAGCTCCACGTTGCTTGCGCAGACTTGTCGGCATTCCTGCGAAGATTGTTAAAGTCATTTAATTGTAATTGACAATGCCAATCATGTGATGGAACAGTGGTTGACATTTTAAGCAAACTGTTTGGTTATGCCAACGTTTCCGTTCACTGACAAATTTAAGTATGGAACTATTTTATTAGGTCATTCCACATAAATTAGAATATTCTTCGGTCTTGTGCATCGATAATCCCAAAGCGACAAACCTAAGCCTGACACAAAGAAACGTACACGAGTGGTGAAAACGTGTTGTCTAAAAAAAACGTTACGTTCTTTGAATAACGTTATTGGGCAGGATCTTGAACGTAGAAAAAAGCGTGTCCGCTTTGTCAATTGATCACGCTCACGTAGATCTGCGCGGCTCGGAAGACATGTGGTCACCCCCCGTAATTGTTTTTGGTGCGAGAAAGAGATGATTGTCTAGATTACCGTGTTCTGCGCTCAGTATTCTCATGGTCGGCAAAAAGCCATAAACGCATTGAGTGGTATTCCCTGGGTCAAGGTTTTAGGCATTACGTTTAGTATCATTTAGTTTATTACTTAGTTCGTTTAGCATATCGTTTAGTTTAGTGTCATCACATGAAGTTTAGTATCATTACGTTAGGCAGTACCCAGTCTAACCAGCCTCTAAAACATCCGTCACATAGTCAAAGTCACGACGCCCGGGTGCCACCCGCATAGGCCGAAGTCAAACATCTTTAAGTGCTCAGCGCTTTGCGGGTCGCGGTTCCGTAAACCCGGGCGTACCAACGGACATGAGGAGAACGCAAGCGGGTCAGTGATGCGTGGTAGGACACTGACAGGTAACGCGCGTCTGGCATTTAAGAAAGCGATAAAGATTCCAAAACAAGATCACGGCACACGGAGCATCGGAACGATATCCACAACCAGGACGGTGGATGACGCGGATCTGGCTGAGCTGGCGCCTGTTTCCACAAGCAAAAAGTCCCGTCTTGGCAGCGTAAGCCATCATACACCGTCGGAGAAACCAGGAAGACGCTGTGCACACTGATCTGCCTACCGTCAGCGTAACGGGCTACTGTAGCACAGAACTCGTTGGTTTCGGCCGGTTTATACCAAGTGAGGTTATTGCTGGTTATGACATACAGTCCAAAGGCTGAGGCAGGAGGCACAAAATGTGTTAGTAATTATTTTTGGTGGACAAGGCAGCGTTTCTCCCACTCTCACTGGCTGCGTGCTGTGCTCCAGATAGCTCTCAAACTATCCGGTGGACATATGGAGCGACTGGAGCTGTGTAAGAAGGGTAGAGTAGTCCCCCACGCTAAGATAGCGGCTCAAGGTTGTAAGTGTAGGAGGCGTCACTGGTCAATCCGTACCATCCTAGAATTTGTCAAACAGTTCAGGGAGCCGTGCACAACAAAGGTTGTTCTATTAATCAGCGTTGTTCGGTACTAAAAAGGCATCGGTATTTCAGATGAGACGTGTGACGTTGGGGAACAAGCGTCTCCACAATCAAACATACGACTGGGACCAGCTTGATGGGCCTAGTTTGATGTTGCTGGCGGGACGTTCCTCGCATGAAGTGGCACCTCAACAGCTCTTCCGCAGCTAGCGGGCATGGTTTCCGAGACGATGTTGATAACGCGAAGGAAGGTTCAATCGACAACGTTGAAACTGCGTTCAATATGTTGGTTGTTGAGTCACCTCCCAAACTTGAGCTTTGTTTTTTTAATGAGAGCTTGATCTGCTGAGGCCGGCGAAGCGTTACAGACACGGTATTTCAGGGCATCCGTGTTTACATGACGGAGACAGACGTTCAATTATTCGCGTACCGTCCATGGAAGCGAAGTCACTCTGACCATCATGGGGGCGCCGGTGGTGTAGTGGTTAACGCATCTGCGTTAACCACTACGCGTCTGGGAAACCAGAGGTACGGGGTTCGATTCCCTGCGGTGCCCGCCCTTTCTGCCAGGGTGAGAGGCAGGCGGTGCCACATAGCCTCAGCAGCTGAGTGCGTCGTAAAGCCCCAATGACACACACACACTGATCATGATAAGTTTTCCCCGGGTTTCGGTGCTGATGGCGGTGAAGCAGACATTCAGCTCGTCCGCTGAGTATTCACAGATGGGTGGATGGGGGAGGTCCTGTTTGGGTGTTATTAGAAGCTGTAGTTGGCGGCACAGCATCGCTGGAGGTGCACCAATCATGCGCTGCGCATCTCCGGAGTTCCGTATGTGGCTCGCTCAAAGGGAGCGTTCCATATTTGTGTGGACGTTAAGCTGAGATAGACTTTTGAAGATAATATAAGGCAGCTCACAGCTCCACCCTTTTTAAGGGTGACAACCCTCTGGTTGTCACCCTTAAGCTTGAGCTGCTTAGCTCAAGCTTAAGCTAAGGTTGAGCTTGATGTGCACGAACTTGTGCTGACTACTTCAAGTTCACACAGATGTGCATGACGCCATAAAACGTCATACGAATACTGACATTTCAATGGCCATGTAGTGCTCAAGGCCAATACAACTATCATCGAGTTTATTCTTATAAAGCGAGTTTGGCAGCAACTCTGACGTCATTAAGACGCTCCAGACGTAATCTAACAATGACGTACTGGGTAACATATTTTATGTCTTTGGTGTGAGCAGTCTTTAACAAAGCAAAACAAAAGTCACAAGCGAATGGCATATGATGCTTGCGTCAGTATCACCAAGTGTGGAGCATTTCCTATAACCGCTATGGTGTGCCACTTTTAGGCTTCAAGATTCCCGTTGTTTTTTAACATATCTACGTTGACATTTAGGCTCTTGAGTCTGGTCGCTGGCAGGTGGGGTCGATGTGTTGTGCACGTAGAATAGGCTTACAGGGTGCCCCAATGTGGTTCGCTTAATGTGGAAACATCCCACTTTTTTGCACACATCGTCGCATCCAGTAACTTCCTTCCTCCCCGTACATCAGTCATGAAATAGTTAAAGCTCAGGTCACGTTAATTGCGCGCCGGTGGGAACGTGGATCTGCCACCTTCCGAACGGGGCGCAGGAAGTGGGTCTGCCACTTCTTGTACTGCCACTTCGCGCATTATTTGACTATGATGCGCGAAGTGGCAGTGCAAGTACAGGCTTTCGGCTTTGATGTTTAAAGAGGGTGTTCCGGATTTCTATTGGGTTTCGAACTGAAATAGCCATCTTGAAGGCCATTTGGTGCAGTTCACAGCCCTGTCCTTAAGACCTAAACCACTTCAGTTTCTTAACTGCACGCCCAGGAAGATGGAAAGACTATTTCAGTAGTATCTCAAGACCTCCCTCGCGTTCATGACGTCATAAGAACGTGACAATTCTTACCATTTCGCAAGTTATTCGGTGATCAAGACCAAAAACAATATGTCGGTCGAGTCACTCAATGCTGGAGTCGGTAAGCACGATTTCCAGATATAACGGCTGTCAACTGGCTCTCAATTAATGTGCAAAGTACGATAACATGACCAGATAATGACGTATCGAAGGGCATATTTACTAGACAGAGAAACGTTGTTCTCCAAAGCAGTCTTTTATACATGAAAGTATACCGATAGTGTTAAGTGAGCTTTTTCATTCCATCTGATGCTTGCTTCAATGCCATCAAATGTGAAACATCGCATGCAAAAAAAAACAAGTTTACGCACGCGCAAATCTGAGGCTTCCAATTACAGAAAAGGCAACCGTCACTGCGTGATCCGTTGGGATTGGGACAAACTTCGATCTAACACAATAAATAAGCAAAGGTCGGTTGAATTAGTTACGTTTGTCTAGTGTTGCCCATGTTCATATGCCTGGGTCCGCGCCCAACGCCATGCGTGAAGGTTTTCATCATGTGTTGAAAAAGTGGCAAATTCCAACGTGCCACGAAACGCCGGGCGCGACCACCTCTGTTTCAGCCCAGCCCTTTAAACTAAATTTTGCTTTAGATTTTGCTTCTTAAAAAAAGTTTGGTCATTTTCCGGTATGCCATCAAGGACGAACAACACGGAACGATCTGACGTGCCTGACACACAACGGCTAGAGTGTCTGATGCTTTACCAACCAAGTTGCACGGACAGCATCAAATGTAAAAAAGGTAAAAAATAAACAACGCTGTGCTTAGAAAATGCAACATGTACTCAGGTGAAAACACA